CACTACCTATGCGCCTAGTATTAATTGCCGGGCGAGGCTTCGATGCGGAGGCGCTCTCCGTCCCATGCGCAGATCTTGACATTTTTTAGAAATAAATTCTCTTGTTTTGTGGGAAAATCTTTTAATACTGGATGCCCATTTTGCACTTTTCCATCCACTCGTGACCGTCCAGACTGCTTAAGGAAGAAAGCCATGCATCGTGTAGCAGTCAACGTTAGACCTTGAAGTTTATATATCGCTTCTACTGCCTTTTCCCTAAGTGTTGGCAATACGTGGGTCTATTTGGTACTTTCCCACACAATCATTCACACTTCTGTGCAATTAACATCAAACACAACTTTATGCCACCAACTGTTTGAACCTCTCTTTGAAGCTAACGTCTTGGCTTTTAACTTGAAAGTCCTTACTCATCTACAGTACCCTATGTTTTCGCATAAATTTTCTCCCTATTATCAAATATCAGAATGTTGTTTTAGGATCTGTGAAAATGTTATGTACGGGAGGCTTGAAAATCTTTCGGCGGTCCCTAAACAATGCAACAGGATCACCTTATTAAGATTGCAAGGAGAGGTAACTGACCTCTTAAAAAGAGTTAATCACTAGGTGGCAAATAAAGGTGCCTCTGTTTGTCTCCTCAATTGAATAGGTTGTCGAATCACTATGGGATCCACTGATTTTTAGGTTCAGTATCCTCCTATTTCAACTATAAATGGTCAAAAACACTCCCTTTCTTTCCGTCACCCACCAGGCCATCATGAACTGCGTTGGTGGAAGACCTAAACCCCCAGTCTTTAAATTACACGCGTGATCTTGAAGGATTCAAGAGACTGCTTCATGGTCATCCACTGTAGTGACTCACCATAGACGTAAAAGTAAGCACTCAAGCATTCTACCTCTGGTAACAAACAAGGTAGCGGAGTAAATTATCCGTGTGATTTGGCTCGTATGCTACAAGTTCAGGTGAACCAGGAAGAGGTTATCTCAAAAGTTGTTTGAGCGAAGGGAGGGTGGTTCAGTTCGTGGAAATCGTGGATTAAAAGATTTAAGTAGTGATTTTACTACGCAGTATAATTTTTTGCGCTAAATACTTGAGATCTCCCAACTTTCACTTTTAACTTTTTTACTACTTTAAGACCCGGAGGACCATGGAATAGCTATAGCAAATTTTCCTCTTCCCCCAAAATCCGGTACAATCAGTCGTGGTATGGTGATTTCACTAATGCTAGACCTTATCAAAGCCGTTGGGATTGTCTTCGCTCTGTCTTTCATCTCCTCCTCCTTCTCCACATTCGTAATTCGTGAACGAAAGTGTGGCTTTATGGCAATGCAACTGCTAGCCGGACAGAATCGTGTTGTCTACTGGGGCATGTCCTATTTGTGGGACTTCCTCTCCATCATCATCCCCATCACAATCATCGTAATTGTCTTCATTATCTTTAATGAACAGGCCTACATTGGGAAAGACCACGTTGGTGCATTTATTGTGCTCATGTTAACCTATGGACTCGCGATCACTCCCCTCATGTATTGCTTCACATTTGCCTTTCGCGTTCCATCAGTGGCGTTTGTTACCCTACTTGCGATTAACATTATTGTGGCCACGGTTACTGCCGTTATTTTTTACACGCTTGACCTCATTTCGTATGAAAATCCCAATATTAAGCCAGTAGTTCAAGTGCTGGAAAAAGTTTTCCTCATCTTTCCTCAATTCGCCTTCTGTCGCGGATTCTACGAGTTGGCCAAGCGCCACACCCTTAATCAACAAGGCCTGCAACAACTCGTCGGCGCCTATGGCATCTTTGGTTGGGGCGTGATGACGGCGAAACTTGTTGCGCTGCTCATTGAAGCGGTAGTCTTCTCGGGTCTGGTTCTACTCATCTCATACACCAGTGGAGCGAATACATGTGAGAAATGCAAAAAGAGACGTTGGAAGAAGGCGGAATTAGCCATGGCAGGCACTCTTGGCGGGGACTCCAAACCAGTAGTCAGTGAAGATGTCATGGAGGAGATCGGACGTGTTGAAAATGTAAGCACAATTATTTGCTTTATTATCTCATCCTTAAAATGCAAAATCGTGATTAGCTGAATCAAAATGTGTGTGTAATTGTGGGGAGAAAAGAGTTTAAAGTTTGCACTGAACTAAGCCACCATAAAAAGGAAGTTGTGTACTTGTGAAAGGTGTGACTGGTTAACACATGACAAAGGGATTCATAAATAGAGTTTACCTAACAATTGCTAGTTTCTCTACCATGGGTCCTCCCTAGACAGGTGTGATTCAACTTGGAGTAAATCCACGAAGCTTGATCCACCTGGCCAACAGTAGTTTAAGCATGTTCAACAGGGGTGGATATTTCCTCCGACTTTCCCCAGTAGAAGTCTTCCTTAAAAAGAAACAAAAGAGAACCACGTTCCTGTGAGTGTTTTTAGAGCCTTGTTTTAGGTTTTATCTACGCAAAGTAAACGTGACTGTTATGTGTCAGGTGCCAAACATTAAGGTTCAAGCATTCTTTTAATTAGCTTTAAGTGGAGATACAGTAAAACTGTCAAACGGAGAGATAATTGAGCTTAGCAATAGTAAGAAAAAAGTTAATCCGCAGAATTTGTGTTATTTTTTGAGAGGACGACTTACTGCAAATTATTTACACCAACGTCAGAAGGTGCGTTTGAGTTGATGTTTAAATTTACTCCATTATTTACAAAGGAGCAGTGAGTAATAAACTTTTTCTCTCATTTCCGTGATTTAATGATACATACTTATGTTTAATCATAAATAGCGTTGCTTATGTCCTTTTTCAAAAAAATTAGGGGAAAGTAGGGCAGTATAATACCTCGGGGAAGTGCTGAGCGGCGGATATTTGTGTAAAGGGGAAGAACGTGTATTACAATGCTATTTCCACCTGTTAAAGGCTTCATCTCCGAGGTGGAGCTAATTCTACCGAAGTAATAAATGAGGGCTGATAACCAAGCCC